GAAAATACTCACTTTCTGTGTGTTCATGAAATTTGCAAAAGCAATTTTCAGTAAAGAATGTAAATATAGTCATAAGAATTGTTAAATCGTTGTTCTCAGGTTTCCTCAGCAATACGATAATTTCTTCGTGCCATCGGATTCCAGGAATCCTTCACTTTCAGAAAAGTATCTGCATTGTGAGACGATTTTGTTTACGTTTGAAGAAGAACGGATATTCTGAAGGTACTCCCTTGCTCTGCTGCGTTCATTTCAATTCACTGTATCTCTGTTGACCAATACATATTTTAGCATTGCAATACATTACAATCCAATACATCAATAATCACATCCGATGCCATAAATTGCTCTCAGTCAATAGCGTTGTCCGGGAAAAAATTCTAGTTCACATCAGATAAAGGAGCAAAGTCAAGAATTGTGATGTCTATGGCAACAATATTGGTGAAGATGTGGGGAATTTTGTGGTAACTGATTATTATGGTAACTGATAAACGATATCTGGGCTGATAAAATATATCACTAGACATAAATCCTTTTGATACTCTGATCGTGATCGAAATATTATGTTCAGTCAGGAACTCAGATCGCCACGCTTTAAGTAAAATGCTTGAAAGTATAGTATGAATGGACGGTGAGTTTGAAATTTGCAAATTTAGCACGACAATCATGAGTGATTTTTAGAGGAAGCTGGAGTCAGATGGTCCAGCATAATTCAAAAGTTGGGGCATACCAACAATGACGCGTACTTTTGCGTCACTATAGTAACATTCCATCATGGCAATCCAGTTGAACAAGTAAGTCACACTGTTTCAACTGTTCGAAGTTATGAGCAAATCAAAACCAAGGAAAAAGACTGCATTAAAGAATAGCTTCATAAATAATAAGATAATCACAGTAAAAGAGCTCAATCACGCATGAGAAAATATGACAGTGAAAATAAAAATGGTAATAACAGTGTTAGCAATAGCAACAAAAATATTGCTAATTGCACCATGATGTAGCATTGAGAATGGAAATAATCATAATGAAAACATTGATAACAGTGCAATAAGATCAAAGTCAGTAATAACGACAACCAAAATAATAACATTAACAATCATCATAACAGCACCAATGTCGTTCGGGCAAACTCAGTTGCGTTGCCCGCCAACTCTGCCCAGTCCCAATCGATTCAAATTAATATTGCATCTGAAAATCTTCGAGCATAATTGTTATTACTCCGGTACACAGAACAATGCTTCATTGCAAAGTCAAATATTAATCAAATCGCTAGTGAAGCATGAAAACTTGAAAAATCCATTAATGCACACATGTAATAATCTTGTATGCCCTCAGAGGCACACCATTCAAACCTATGAAATCCATAACCTTCAAGTTCACTGAGCCAAATATCCATTAGGCCGAATGTCATTAAAATAAATGTTGTTAGGTCAAATGTCCAATCACGACGATCATTTACTGTCTAGGTAACGGCTTTTATTGCAACTAACAGATTATTTGTATGGGCCTTATACAGATAGTTTCTGTCCACTATCCATACAAATTTATTATTGTTCAGCACGCAGTACTGTAACTTCCGTTATCATGATATGGAACAATCGANTTATCATGATATGGAACAATCGATTTGCTCAATTTTTCATTACCACGTTTGCGGAGTTTGGTATTTAAAATTTTTAACGTTCATTCTATTGGTTGAGACCGTATCTTATGCTAACATCTACTCCTTACTGATGTTGTCACCGATATGATTTCTTATGTTTTTCTGGAACTCCTCTCATTTCTCGATCATAATCAATCGTCATCAAATTATCGTGCATTCTCAAGAGCTACTAAATGTATTTTACTGGTGGAATGAATTTGTGTAGCAGTCAACATAACTCACGACATTGTCTTTAGTACAGAACATTGTCTTTAGCACTGCAGCGTAATTTTTCAGTTTTCATTGTTCTATTCTATGCGAAAGTGAACTAAAGTATCTTTCATGAATCGTATCACACTTGAACTCATCGTTATTCACTCATTTCTCTTGTCAATTATGAACCGCATTCGGAAATAACTATTCATTATCGATTTGCACTGGCATGATGTATCAGCTTCCAAAATANTTACTCATATTACAATTCTTGAGCATGCATGAAGTAACTTCATTTTCCGAACATTCAGCACATATAACCCACACACATCATAAAAAGCACGCAGTAATTTCGGTCGTCCCAACCTCGACTTTTTTTTCCGTAATATACTTCTCCACTGATGCTAACAGTGTGAATAGTTTCTAAAACGTTCAACGATCTTGATCCAGGAACATTTATTTTCGTCTTGCACCATGCAACTGTATGAGCCATATTAAAAATTCAATACTGCAACATTAGAACTGAAACGTCTTCACTTTGTTCAGTATGATATGAGAATGTCATAAACTGGTAGATAAAAAGGACATATAAAACTGATAAGGGGCATGCATATCTACAGCTGTTCAAAAGAACAATTGAAAACTGACATGGAAACTTATGAAGCAAAGTCGTTCACTTTCCCACTATACTGTCTCCTCACAATTAGTCCGACCAGTTCCACCATATGAAATCAGCTTCTTATTCCCGTTAAAATTTCGTTAACCATTTTGCAACGGGAGGGAAAGAAATCGAAAGAGAAAGCTAGTTTACCCATCTAGTTTGAATCGTTCCGATTTTATTGATTCAGTGNCGGGAGGGAAAGAAATCGAAAGAGAAAGCTAGTTTACCCATCTAGTTTGAATCGTTCCGATTTTATTGATTCAGTGGTGAACAAAATTTCATTTTTTCCTTCTTTTTTTCCAACCTTTGTTCCCTATCCTTCTAGCAATACATTCTAGGAAAACTTGAAATAAGCTCTCTAAAAGGTCACAGTGCTTATTGTTGCATCAGTCATCCGAGGTTCTCAGTTCTGAAAAAAAAGAAAAAGCAGACAAGGTTCGATCATTTTCAACACTTGTCGGTGGGATCTTCCCAGTCGAGTTGTGGAAGTACAAAGAAGGAAGTACGAAGTAAAAATTTCCTTCGTCACTTCAAACGAACGCATTTCGAAGATCACTTTGTTGTTCGCTTCAATATTTCCTTCACAACATAAGGAATTTTGAGAATTTATCATCAAATCTATTTTCTTTGAGAAAGCAATATGTCACTGTTTACGATAAGAAACAAGAAATACAACAACGCTTCCGGTTAAATTTAAGCCTTTGTTACCGGATCGATCACCAATCAATAAAAAACAAATTCATGGGAACTGGTAAACTCTTAAATGATGTGGATGTCCCCTTGGACGACTGAGCGTTCATCAGTTTTTACATCAGTTTTCAAGAGTTCTTTTGAACAATTTTTGATACGCATAACCTTGATCAATTTTTAATATCGTTTTTAGATATCAGTTTATGACATTCTCATGTCAAGATGAACAAAGTGAAGACGTTTCAGTTCTAATAATACAACATTGGGTTTTCCAATATAACTTACACAACTGCATTGTGTAAAACAGCAACGAAAATAAACACTCCTGGATCAAGATCATCGAACGTTTTGAAAATATTTACATTATTAACATCAGTGGAGGAGTATATTACGGAAGAACACTCAAGGACGACCCAAAGTGTTGTTTGCTTTTTATAATCTGTGCGGGTTTTCTGTGCTTAATGTTCGGAAAATAAGGTTGTTTCATGCGTCATGATATGAGCAATTTACTTTGCAAATGATGAATCTTCGGACCATCTGCAAATTTTAAGACCTTATACCCCATGCCATAAAATTTTTCTCATCACGTTTGACCCAAAAGAGAATGGAGCATTTGCCGATGGATAATCCCATTCGCCAGGCTTCAATCCACTGCATGATATACTTTAGGGTGACGAACTATCAAGTTCATTGGTCGATTGAGTATTTATGGAGGTGATACATCATGTCAGCGTGAATCGATAATGAATGGTTATTTCTGAATGCGGTTGATAACAGACAACAGAAATGGTGTTCCAAAGAAGAATGGTGTTCCAACGATGTTTATAACGGTTCCAACGCGATACAGTTGAGAAAATATACTTTAGTTGACTATTGCATCGGATAGAACTAATGCACTCTGGAGTGCTAAAGACAACGTCGTGACTTATAGTGACTGCCGCATAAATTGATTCACTTCATCTTTAAAACACATTCCTTAGCTCTTGAGAATGCGCAACAATTTGATGACAGTTTATCTCGATTGAGCAATGAGAGGAGCTTGAAAAAAAGTATGACAACTGATAAAGACGAAGGTATGTTGGTGACAACATTGATAAGGACCAGATGACAGTACGTGACATGTTCTCGAGGGATTAAATGACAGTGAAATTTTTCAAATACCAAACTCCATGGCAGTGGAAATGAGTAATCGAACATGTCGATTGTTCAATATCATGATAACGTACCATAGTATATACTAAGTGCCGAACAAAAATAAATTTGTATGGATATACACAGAAGATGACTATCTGTTTTGAGCGATCAAAACGAACAAATACCGACAGAACCATAAAAAGCACATAATCGAATATGCAATGTATCCTCTTGAGTGTTTTACTGCAAATTTTGCCCATATAAGTTCAGATGTTCATTTCCGACTACCTGAATAGAATCCTCTCTAATGATGTGCACACTGATATTTCTATTCCACACTTTCGGAAAACTGTTCTATCCTATTCAATCCCGCTCTTCAGTTGTTCTGTTCCGTTTTATTCTAAGCCTCCTTTGTCGTAAATGTTCCAATATACTCCAGGAACAGAACAGCTTAACCAGAGTAGAAACATCACTAGATGTACATTAAGATTTTAAGTACCGTTCTTTTTCTGACGATGGCCTAAACTGTTGAAACGTTGGGAAGACCTAGAGAGTGCAAAACCCTGAGGTTGAGGTTTTTAGAATCATTACTGGTGGCTTCCCTTGCAAATCCGATTCCGCTACTTCATCGTAGTGCAAGGGTGCCAACGGGTCAGAAAGGCTATGCCGGTGGAGCTTCAAGCTCCAGCGGGTACAACCAAGCCGGATAGGCTTTCTGTAGGTGCCGGAAGGACGATTACGGATCCGAGTCCTAGGGCCAACCCGGCTAAAGCGGAACGGTAAAACCGCGGCTATAGGGGTACAAGGGCTGGCAACCTGAACACAACTACCGCAAAAACAGTTGCCAAAAAACCGAGAAATCAAAGAAATGAGCAGGATTCACAGAAATTGGAAAACGGACCGGATGGACAACGATTTAAGTCTAACGGAAGGGTAAAACGTTTATTTGTGGCTGCACACAATCCAAGAACGATATCGACGGACTACCTAATTAGAGAGTATATCGAAGAAGTATCAAAAATATAAGCAGACATCATCGGAATATCAGAAACAAGACGCAGTAAGGACCTAATTGCAGAACGGCATCCAGGAGACCAGGTATTCTTGGGGAGAGCTAGTGACAACGAATCGAGAGTAGGGGGAGTCGGATTCATCGTGAAAAAACATGCAACAAATCTCATCGAAAGCTGCGACATTTTTTCTCCAAGAACGGCAGTGTTGGTCATACGTATCGATAGATCTAGAACGTTAAAAATAGTACAGGTGTATGCACCAGCCACAAATAATGCACAGCCCACAGAAGAAGCAGAAGAAGAACTGGAAGAATTTTTCGAAGAAGTGGAAAGGGCTATGAATAAAAAATCAACATACACGATTGTACAAGGGGACTTCAATGCCAAAGTGGGATGTAGAATCAATCAAAATGAAAGATACATTGGTAAGTACGGTATAGGAGACAGNAATGATCGTGGACAACGACTAATAACATTCGCAATCAGTAATCACCTTCACATAATGAATACCATGTTCCAAAAATCAGCACGAAGACAATGGACATGGAAGAGCCCAAATGGTGCCATAAGAAATCAGATAGATTATGTAATGACGAGTTCAAAGCGCATCATTTCAGATGTCTCAGTAATCGGAGAAAAAATCGTCCACATTGGCTCTGATCATCGGCTTATACGCACAAAAGTGAAGATAAACTACTCACATGAAAATGCCGTGCTGAAGAAAAACTCTCGAACATCAAATACAGTCGTCAATTTGGCATCGCTAGCGAACAAACTGGAAGCTCAGGATTGGTCAATAACGAGTGATGATGTTAATCAAGACTATGAAGACCTAGTAAAGAAAATTAA